CCGAAGTCAGCCTGCAGAAATGTGTGCGTAAACTAAAGAGACAGCACCAAATATAGTCCAGCACACCTAATCCTGGTCCCGTTACTTGATCAGGTGTTCAGGTGTCTACACTCAGACCTGGCACAATGTCCTGCTGTAAAGACATGTGGACTGAAGACAGCTTAAGTCATGACCATTACACATCATCATTAGTGTGAACATTAGTGTTAGAGACCGAGGCCGTGGTCTCTAAGAATCCGCTGACGTGACTGTAATTACCTAATAAAAAAAGTTCTCAGTCAAAAATGATAAAAATCTTTTGGCCGTAAAAAAATACAATGTATATTAGCAGCATTAACAGTAACTCTAAGTCAATGCAGTTAACAAGTTACGCCACTAGATGGTAATGTTTAAATGGATTTATTGCTACACAACTGCTGCACGTTCTTCCAGCATTATTCCAAAAAAAAAATAGCACGTGATGTGAAACGTTCTTCCAGCATTATTCCAAAAAAATAGCACGTGATGTGAGTGATGCTTTTTGGGTCTTAATTAATGTTATTATATGTTACAATATATTCATACGTATTATATGGCAATATAATATATCATTTGTTTATTTATATATAATATGGTCATAATGTTTGTCTGTTGTCCCAGCGTAGTTAAAAGTTTTAATAATGTCTGAACATCTTTAGGAAAATAATAGTGTCTTACAGACATGCAGTCATATGATGATGTCAAAGAGTTCATTAAAAAACATGTTAAGTCAGATTTTGGGTTCCATCTTTAAGAGTCCATACAAGCCATCATCTTACTACAATTGAACCAAAAATATTTTGTCTTATATTCGTTCATCCTCTTCTGCTTAATATCAAGTGAGAAATTAACACAGTCAGAAATATGCATTTTTTTAGACTGTGGGAAAAACGCACTAGAAAGTACCAAAAAAAATTTAAAAAATTTAGTACCCACAGAAAGTCTGCGCTGAGGAAACCCTTAGTTCTCTTTTAGCTGTAAAAAAAGAACTAATCACTCAATTTTCTTCTGGCCTAATATTTCTAATCCTCTCGTCCAAACTCTCTTGGCCTAGCTTCACTAACTTTATCTCTGGATTCTAACCACCTGAATCCACACCCTGTTATTTACCCATTACTTAGACTGTTTGCAGCGTCTTTTGCTTGAACAACCTCCACTCTCCCCATGTCTTTGTGTGGGTCAGTCTGCCGTCTGGTGGTCACAGGACCAGGTTCTGTTATCAGAGGATCCATGTTTCTGAAAGCTACCGTTTCTCCCCAGTTACAGGTTGATGAGTTAAATGCAGAGGTTGTGTGTATGTGTCTGTACGTAGTTAAATGTTCAGCCACGCCATTGTCTCACCAAAGTACACAATGATTAGCGCAGCGTAAGCAGTTAGCAGAGCACAGAGCTGGGACTATGGTGTTTGGAAAACACTAGTGGAGGCATACAAAGCTCAGGTCTGATGCCTGACCAGCTGTCAGAGAGGCGGGTTCGTCCCACCGTGACAACGACCCCCCCGTCTCCCTCCTGTTGTCTTTTTTAAACTAACCCCAGTATGGGCTCACGGAAGATGCTAAAGTTTGCTTTTTGCGAGGTGGTACAGTTTGTCGGTCTATGTGTGCCCCTCTTCATCATCATGCAGAGGTTTGCCGTGATCGTGGCGCTGGTGAAAACCTCGGCCAAGCCTCCAGGAGACGGCGGCACGGCCTACTGGTTGATCGTGGCCTCCTCGGTTGCCTACGTCACCTCCACAGCCCTGCTGGTCTGGGTTCCCCTGAAGTACATGGTCTTCATTAAAAAGAAGTTTCTCGTCAGCAGAAAAGAGTGGTGAGTCCTTTATACTTGTGTCAGCAGATGGAACTCCAGTCCTGACTCAGGACCTGACCAGATGGTTTGAGTCTAAACAGATGCGTGGCTGGTTTGAACTGCACTTGACAGCTGGATATCGAACTCTAGTCCTTTGACTGCTTCCTTACTTGTTTGTTTTTTCCCCCTTTTGTCTTTCTGTCAGGAGGCCCGTGGCCCTGGTGTATGTGGTCCTGTCCACGTTGCCCTGCTTTGCCTTCCTTATTGCCAGCTCTGAGGTACATGTTAGAGAATGTTGTCTTATTTGAGTTAGGTTGTTTAACCTTGAACTCACCTGTAAGATTTGCAGGTAGTTGAAGCAACACAACCATTATATCATTATATTTTGTTGCTGGCCAACAATTTTTTTTAATCAAAAATACCTGCAACAACTTCATATCTGGTGTAAAAACCTCTCAACCCTCAACGTCAGTCTCCACTGACTGGAGTGAAGATGATGATTTGTGAGAAACCCTTTCATTCCCAGGGGAACCATATAGACAAGTAGCCACTGATAAGCAGCTTGGTTCCTTTTTCCTGTCACGGTCACACTCATCTGCCCATGAGGCACATTTTCACTTCCTTACTGGCAAAAGCCTGGCTCTCTCTGCTGTTTTATGTAGCTAAAGCCCAGCTCGACTTTTTGGCCTTTGCTTATCTGGTGAATTCTGCATTACAGCCATGGATTCTGCAAAGAGAAGCAGCTTTTCTGTTTCTGTCCCAAGTCAGGAAGGAGATGCAAAAGTCTTGGCCCAGAAACACACATTTAAAAGAATGATGACGTTAAATTGAAGTAACGATGTATCAGCTGTACTGACGCTGCCTTGATTGGTTTCAATAACGAAGGTGACAAATTATCCCCATGTTCCATCATCCAGGTTCAGAGGAATAACAACATGAAACATGACATGTTCATGGAGCTCCCCGTGTCACTGGTTCTCTTCTCCCTCATCTGCATGGATGTAGTGGAGAGGTTACGTTACTGCTATCTGACTGGCCAGGGTGAGTCCTGCTCTTTATGTCACATCAACAACAAGACCATCAGCAACAGTTCAGGGTTTTCTAAGGTGGTTACAATACGTGAGGTTAAAAAAATAAAAACATTTTTCTGCTCAGGACACACAGCTGCCTTCACTGAGAGACACTTTTCAAAAATGCTGATCTGTGCAAATTAAATGTACTCTGATGGGACTGTGGTTCTTCTGTGCTCGCAGCTACCGTCACGACTGGACATTCAGACATTCCCTCCACGGTCCTCACGCACGTGCAGCCAGTTTTACCAGTAACACCGATCACTCCAGCTGCTCCAGGGCCAGCTGTGCCTGGACACCCAGTGGTAAACCAGCTCAGTGACAGGGGCCAGAACAGAGCCGGGATCAGACCTGAGACCAACCTAGGAACGTTCACTGTCCCTGGACTGGGCCTACAGACAGTGGACCCACAGTATCGACGGTCTCCGTATGACTACGCAGGTCCAATGAGCTTCCTGTGCGTCGGTGACAACAGAGCAGATGTCTTCGTGGACAGCTTTATGTTCTGGATGGACACCGTGGAGATGGTGAGGGTGGCGGGCCATCCACAGGTCTTCTACTCCAGCTGGGTGTTTCCCATCTTTATCCTCAGCTACCTGTCGTGCCTGCGTGTGGTGGTGACACCTCACAGCCCACTGCTCTCCACACTGGGAGTAGCTCTACAGGACTTTCCCTTTTTCGTCGTGCGTGTTGGCCTGGTCACCTTCTTTGGCTTTGTCACTCCAGTCCTGTTTCTGCTGAAGAACCTGTTGGTCTGCATGGCCTTCGTCTACTTCAACTTCATGACCAAAATGAGGGTCTTCAATACAGAGAGGATGTCGCTGTAAATTCAGAACTTCCAGCCGGGACACAGCGGAACACAAAACTGGAACAATGTGACGCCAACACCTCATTTGTTATGTTGTTTTATTTATAGTATTTCACGTATTTTTTGACGACTTTGGATTATTTAAATTCATAGAGATTTGTTGATTGTTTTTGTTAAACAAGAAATATGTGAAGTATATTTTTATATATTAGAAGTGTTTCTGATTTAATAGAATCCATAAAGAAAAGTATTTGTATGGTTGAATGGTGTTTGTCAGGAAAGACACAATGTTTCAAGTCCGTTTTGACTTCTTTGTGTGAAACTGATATTAAACTAAGGTTGTTTATGTCCATTTTCATTGGAATTTAGTTCTCTAGAGAAAACACTTTCCTTTCCTCTTCCTCTAAAATGTCGAACACTGTCTCTTCCTGTAGTTCTGCAGCAATGTGGTCGACTGACACACCTGCAGAACCTTCATCAAATGACATCAAATATTTGGACACTGATGCCACGAGACTGGGCTGGACAGGCAAACAGACCAGAATTGTGGTAAAGGAAAATCCTCTTCATCAACCAACCAATCAATCAATCACTTCATTATTCTTGAAACAATGTTACTGATATTTGAATCAACTGTACTGCAGACGCCTCTGTGTTCTCTGAAAACAGATATTCTCCACTTGCGTTCCCCTAATAGGAAGCAGGATTTCCTCCTCTCCTCTTGTTCTCCTGACCTGTATCTGTACATTTCACTCAAAGCATTATGGACCTTTGGGAAGGCCAAACTGGGGAAGAGAGCCTTGGGGGAGGGAGGGAGGGTAAAACACACCGTACATCAAAACAGCCACATCAGCAGCTGCAAATAAGGTTGATTATCATTTCCATTAAATTTTTCACCTATATACATTTAATAACCATTATTTAACCAGTTCTTATTTACGATGTCAGTCAATGGAACAGAATTTCTTTATACACATAGCTATTCAGATATTCAAACCAATAATAAACTGTATGAAATAGGCTTGTGAAGAAAATATTGATACATTGAAATATCACCATTTCATTTGACAATACAATATTGATATTACACTGTATTTAAAATAAATACAAAAATCACACTGCACCGTACAAACCCCCCTAAACCTTCCTTCGGGTGATGAGTCTGCTGGAAGGTACCAAGTGCCCTAACCGGGATTCAATCCTACCCAGGAGGTGAACACTAGGGTTCCACACCAATGACGGAGACATTGCCTCTGGGCCAAAGCACCACACAATCACTAATTCTGTTGGATAATATATTATATAAAATATATAAAAATATGCTCAATATAATTATCAGATTACATAAATACACAGAACAAAATATTCTTTTTTTATATTGCTCTAATTGTTTGCTTTCTCATTCTCAGGAAAAAAAATTCCATGGAATCCTATGAAACTACTGTCATTGGATTGTAGAGGTTAAAGAGTCATGTGACAGGATATCCATTACTGTGATTTAGGGGGGACAGTGCCCTGTCTGCCTGTCTTTGGCCTGTGCTCCTCACACCTTAGCACAGTCCAGACCTCCTCTCTCTAATGACTGGGACACTCTCTCACCTCCTCTTCCACCACTGAGGGCAGAAACCACACAGCTGCGATGATGTTACCCTGTTTGAATTTAGCAGTGATCCTCTGCCTCCTGCAAGTCCTCTGCATTACCGCTGACATAGGTACGTACCTGAGAAACCCATCGTCTAATTGTTCCTTTCAATTTGAGACTGAAGCTGTCGGTTGTTCTTCCAGACAGTGGCTCCTTCCTGATTTTCAATGACAACCACAATAAATGCGTTAAGGTGGAGAGCGCCACCTCCATCACGGTTGCCCAGTGCGATCCACATGCCAAACAGCAGCAGTTTCGTTGGGCTTCTGAGTCCCGCATCCTCAGTCTATCCCAGAAGCTGTGTCTGGCGGCAGCGGAGATTAAAGACTGGGTGAAAGTCCTCCTCTTTGAGTGTGACGAAACCAGTAACCTTCAGCACTGGGAGTGCAAGAATGAAACTCTCTTTGGCCTTAAAGGCCAGGACCTACACTTGAACTGGGGCAATAAAAAGGAAAGGAACATGATGATCTACAAAGGCGCCGGGCTCTGGAGTCGCTGGAGGATATTTGGCACGATGGGAGATCTTTGTTCAAAAGGGTATCAAGGTAGGATGAAGAATGTTCTCAGTCTGAGCCTCATATAGTTGTCTGTTTGACTTGAATTCCATATATTTTTTAAAAGAATCCATGTGAACCACATTTAAAGATATTATTAAATAACATGGATAAATGCAGTGTTTGATAAAAACATCTGTAAAAGAAATAAAACTAAATAAAAAAAAGCTAAAAACTGTTTTGACCTCTTTGGAATATTTGCAAATCTGTTTAACACGTCCTGTGTAGATTGGCATAGTCAAAGCCACTGTTATAACAACGTACAAATGTAAATCTACAGGCACAGCACGCTACAGTCGTCTTATGAACACGTGAGACTCAACTGGACCTCAGATTTAGGCCCACACCCTGTGGCTGCAGCCCTACTGCTGATGCAACTGAATAAATGTGTGTAATGAAGAGGGTGTATTTAATCACATGACTTGCTCCATCTCCGCAGAGGCTTTCACAATAGGAGGCAACAGTTTTGGAGGGCCCTGTCAGTTTCCATTCAAGTTTCATGACAAGTGGTACGCTGACTGCACGAAGGATGGTCGGTTGGACGGACAGCTGTGGTGTGCGACAGAGACGGACTACGAGAAAACTAAAAAGTGGGGCTTTTGTCCAAACCAAGGCGAGTTAAACAGACATATACAACAAAGTGTTTCACACAAATGTACTTGTCTGTAGTTTTGATATATGTCCCAAACAGGTCAGTGCTGAGATGAAGCTGACCCCCCCCCACCATCCCCCCTCTCTCCTTCAACAGACCAACGCAAGCACTTCCTATTATAAACTGTTAACACAGCATTCTCAGTGTTTTCCTTTTCACATCAACTTTGTCTTTTCCCTGACGCTGCACTAAAACAGGGGCAGGAAAGCAACAGTGGAACACTCACAGGCTCACTTTTAACGTTTGACCAAAACGGTCACAGAGAATACAAGCTAGTATGTGGTTCCTTCGTGTAGCAGCTAGCAGGCCTGCCTTACAAGCTTTGGCGCCTCCAAGGCGCTGTTGCAGCAGACCTGCTGGTAGTTCAAGAATTTTCCCAGTGTGGGATCAATAATTTTGGATCTTTTTTATAATGCAGTTTCCTTAGACTGGGTCACTGACCCTGTCACCGAAGTCCAGTACCAGAGGAATACACAGGCAGCTCTGACCTGGCATCAGGCCAGGAAGAGCTGCCAGCAGCAAGGAGCCGACCTCCTGAGCATCGTAGAGCTGCACGAGCAGTCGTACATTTCAGGTGCAAACCTTCAGCTTGAATCCGCTCTATGCATTCACACATTGTCACAGTGTGAGTATTTGAGTATTAATATGTATGTGGTTATCCAGGGCTGACTAACGCTTTTGGAACCTCCCTGTGGATCGGACTGAACTCCTTGGATTTTGAGAGTGGATGGCAGTGGAGCAATGGAAACCCCTTCAGATATTTAAACTGGGCTCCAGGTCAGAAACACTTCTGTTCTGGCATTACAGCAAAAAACTTGGTACAAATGAGGTATATCTTATCTTAACATGAACCTACATCAAACAAAAATAAATGTCCTTGCAGTATAGATAAGGATTTAGTCTCAGTGCAAGTGCATCAATCCCAGTTTTTTTTTATTTGGTTTTTGTTGGTAATTGTTGCCATGATCTGTTTACAACAGGTCACCCGTCATCAGATCCTGGACTCACTTGTGCGACCCTGAATGCTGCAAAAGTCTCAAAATGGGAGAGCAGCTCCTGCACCAAGAAACTTGGATACATTTGCCGAAAAGGAATCTCCACCAGTCTGCCTCCTCCACCAAGTACAGGAATTGATCCAGTTTATAGTTGGTGTGAAATTCACATTTCTACTATAACATGTACACATTCCTGCATTCACAGGTAAAGGCCAGCCCACCTTCTGCCCCAGTCACTGGGTTCCTTATTCAGGAAACTGTTATTACCTGGAGAGAAACCAGAAGAAGATGTGGAGGGAGGCTGTGTCTGCCTGTCACAGAGAGGGAGGAGACTTGGCCAGCATTCACAACATAGAGGAACAGAGCTTCATCATATCTCAGTCTGGATACTGTAAGTCTACAGGAATACCAGTGGTGGTTTGGGAAATGTAGGATAAATGTATTGACTACAACAGTTTTATGCGATCTAATCCACAAGGTTCCTGTTTCGTCAAGTGCTCAGAACAAAAGATCAATAGCTGCGATCATCGTTTTTAAATGTAGAGAAAGGATAATTAATCCAAGATATATTTTTGTTTCTCTGTCATTCATCAAACCTGATTATACGTAAAAAGCGTTTAAGCAGTGCTTAGCAAGAGACAGCAACATTGTTCCAGACACATTTAAATTGACGAAAAAACACTTCTTCAAACCAACCACACCTCAGTGATAAACTAACAACTTAGTACTCATTTTCACACTTCAAGTGGTTTTTCTGACGTAAGGCACTCACCATTCACTTGATAAGCGTTAACCCTAGTACACCACGATCTAAACCCTCAGTACCAACGGACGTGCTCTGGATCGGCTTGAATGACCGGAGGAACCAGATGCTGTTCGAATGGTCCGACAACTCCCACGTCACCTACACCCGGTGGCAGAGTGGTGAACCTTCTCACGCCGCCAACCTTCAGGAAGACTGTGTACTTATTAGAGGAGAGGTAAAATGACTGAATGTCAATAATGTTGATTTTCCAAACCGTGATCTTTGTAAATACTACAGGTGTGTATTGGCAAGAATCTGGTGATATGATACGATACAGGGGCAATGGTAAAATATATCGTGATATACTGAGATAGAATAGGCATGTTGATATATTAAGTTGTTTTTTTTTAACATTTAATTGTTGGAAAACTGTCAGCACAGTAAACACACAATGCTGTTACATCTTACATCCAACACTCAGCATTTACATGCTGTTTGTTGTCATACAGGATGGAAAGTGGTCAGATCACATGTGTGAAAAGACTCTGGGGTACATCTGTAAAAAGAAGGCCTCCATTCTACCACCTGCAGGAGCCCAAGAAGAGGCCAATCCTGGATGCAACTCTGTAAGTCATGTTACTCCATTACTCTGAACCAAGAGAATTTGCACGTATTGATGATTTTAAGAATTGGGATTTATTTACTTACTATCTTTTTTCAACTATGTCAAGGGCTCATTCCGATTTGGTTCATACTGCTACACTATTGGAGCACAGTCAAAAACCTTTAACGAAGCAGCACGGGTCTGCTCAGAAGCTGATGGTCATCTGGTGGATGTGGCTAACAGGTAGGTACATATATGTTTGACATTACATGACATTAACTCAAGGCTACTGTAGCTAAAATCTGAAGGTGAAGTTCTGCTCTCTGTTTGTGTGTACTCTAGGTATGAGAGTGCCTTCCTGGTCAGTTTAGTGGGTTTAAGACCAGAGAAGTATTTCTGGGTTGGTTTGTCCAACACAGAAGATATAAACACTTTTAAGTGGACCACCAAAAGAAAAGTCACATTCACTAATTTCAACGTGGGAATGCCAGGTACAGTACATCTGTCATATAGAAATAAAAATGTGTTTTAAAGGAACATCTGTTCCATTGAATCCCTGATGTGTTTACTTAAAAAGACAGACACCAGGGATGTGTTGCCATGACAACCGGGCTTCTCGCTGGATTATGGGATGTGGTCAGCTGCAGCGACAAGGCAAAATACATCTGCAAGAAAACAGCAGTGGGTGCCCCGGTGACAACAGTTCCACCCACCACAGCAGCCCTGACCTGTGCCTCAGGATGGACGCCTGCAGGAACAAGGAATGTGTGCTACAAGGTTGTGAGGTTTATTTAACTAATTTTTTTTGTATTTGATTTTTGTATGGTAATCAAAATGCCTGTATTTATTCACCAGATTTATAAACAAGAAAAGACTTGGCATGAAGCTCTCAGCTTCTGCAAGGCCATTGGTGGAGACCTGATGAGTATCCACAGTTCTGCAGATTTGGAATTGGCTTCGTATGTATTCTCAATAATATATTTATGAATCATTGTGTTAAATGTGTTCATTGAAGTCAACTCTGCAAGCAGTCAGTGTGTGTTATGTTGTCAAAAGGTTTGGTCTGTCTAAACCAGTTTGGATTGGCTTCAACTCTTTGGATACCAGCAAAGGTTTTGTTTGGACTGACGGTTCTGCTGTACGTGGCTTTGCAATGTAAACACTGATATTGGTAGATGCTCCTATCAGGTGTCATGGCCTTTTAAACTGTATTTGCAACAACTTTGATTTAGAGCAACTATGAGAACTGGGGCTTCGGAGAGCCGAACAACTACAATGACAATGAGCATTGTGCTGAAGTGCTCAGTTTTTACAGACGGCATTGGAACGACAAGAACTGTGACGACACCAATCACTTGATCTGCCAGATACAAAAAGGTTAATGTGGAACTGTTTGTTTGAAGGAGTTTGGAGAAGTCAGTGCCTTGTACTGATGGGTTTTCCTGTTGTGGTTAATGTTATTTTCAGGTGTGACTCCAAAACCAGAGCCTGTCACGGTACCAGAAGGTAAGGTTCGACAACTTTTCCATCTTAAATGTTTCAGTCAACATAACAGTATCATATCTCTGATTGTTTTTATGTTGGAACACAGGGATCTACATTTGTAAGTGCAAGGGAAGAAATAAAAGGAAAATAAAATAAACAAAACCCCATGAATATTTGACTGTAAATTGTTACTAAAACAATTAATACAGTGTTGTAGAATATCAATAGAGTATCAAGAACTATGAAAAGAAATAATGCAATGTTTCAGTCTACCATTGTTTTCTTACACTAACTGTTTTATTGCTCTGGGTATTATGACATCTCTTCTCACACAAACCTAACACTAACACTTTTCATCCTTGCATTTGAATATGCAAAGTACCCTAAACCGTGTTATTAAATTAACTGTTTGATCATGGGTATTATGACATCTCTTCTCACACAACTCTAACACTAACACTTGATCACGGAAAGTTTCCGTGGTTACTTTATGTTGCTTTTGTTATACTTTCGCTATAACATTAAAGTCGTATTCTGATCCTTCAAAATCTGCGTACCTTATATTTCCCCTGCAGTATTTAACACCACAGAAGACGGCTGGATCATTTACAACGACACGCAGTATTTCATCAACACTGACCTTCTACCAATGGAAGCTGCCAGAGCCTACTGCAAAAAGAACTTTGGAGAACTTGCAGTAATTACAGGAGACAGTGAGAGAAAGTTTCTTTGGAAACAGGTAAAAAATAAAAAATATAATTTGAAACTTCTTTCTGACTTAATTCAATCAGGAAAGCTTTTAATAAAACTGAATGCCATATGTTTTATTTATGTTTTAACAGATAAAGAAAGAAGATGAAAACCAATACTACATTGGCATGGTGATAAATTTGGATAAATCATTCAGGTAATAAACTATAATCTATAAGAATGTGCTGTCAGGGCGACACATGGATTCAAGGTAGGGTTAGGGGCTACACAAAAAACAGCACCGTGTCTCCCTTTCGTTTTACTATGGCGATGCACAGGTTGACAGATAAGGTCAATGAATAAATGTGTGGTCAACCATCTACAATCCACCTCTGTTGGGAACTCAGTTTACAAAGAGAGCTGACGAAGGGAGTGGAATGGATGTAGACGAGTGTCAAGGGTGATAAGTGACAAAGAAGATTAGTGGCAAAGTAGAAAGTAAAATTATATAAGGAAGTAGTGAGACGTCTATGATGTATGGTGACCAGGATGCATAGGGTCAGTAGTGATCAAATCAGGGGCACAGTTAAGGTGCAGTAGTGTGTAAAGGTGAGGTTGACAGTGGAGATATTGGCCCACAGATGTTGTAAATACAGCTGCCAGACGAGGAAAAATTGAGTGAAAGAGGAAATGCCATTACATGCATATGATCTGTGTTCATTTTTGACCCTCGCAGCTGGCTTGATGGTTCACCTGTCACTTACACATCGTGGGAAAACAATGAACCCAACTTTGCCAACAATGATGAAAACTGTGTCACCATATTTAGAAATACGGGTGAGTTTGTTGATCAAATGTGGTGAAGGGTTTTGGTGAAATAATCAGTTTTTGATCTCGGTTCATTCTGCACACACAGGATACTGGAACGATATCAACTGTGGATACAAACTTCCTTCAATTTGCAAAAGAAACAGCAATTTTGTCAACACAACAATGGCTCCCACCACTGCTCCCAAGGGAAGCTGTGCACCAGAGTGGCTGTCTTTCCAAGGAAAAGTAAGACTGCTTCAAAACCAGGTTGACACTTTGCCATCCTCAATGACGGTCTCTGCTCTACAGGATTCCTATGTTCTGTCTGTTTTTAAAACGCCACCAAGGTTACCATCAACTGACACTCACTTCAGTCCTCTTCTCTAAACAGTGTTACAGAATTGTGACAAGTGACAATAAGAATTGGCAAGATGCCAGGTCATACTGTTACAACCAAGGAGGAAATCTGGTTTCAATCGTCAGTGCAAAGGACCAAGGTAGCTAGTGTGACTGCAGCTGACTAATGCTTATGTACCGTACATCTGTACCTGGACAGAAGGTTTAACAATAACCGTTTCCATTTTATTTAGCTTTCCTGACAACGCAGATAATCGGATACAATGAAGATTTTTGGATTGGCATGAACGATATCAGCTGGGACATGCGCTTCATATGGACAGATGGCAAAGGAGTTTCATACACAAACTGGGCCAAAGGTCACCCTTCATCTACTCCTGATGGACGTCACTCATTCTCAGATGAGGTGACTTTATGCTTTTATTTCAAACTGTTATTCATGCTGGAATATTAATTAATTTCTTGGACTGAGGAGAGTATGAATTTTAATAAAATATAGGATTGACATTCATCTAAACAATATAAATAACCAAATATTGTTAAATTGTTGGGTGACTTTGTATGTGGGCCATTTATATTTAACACTACTCTTTCAGGTATTTGACTTTCAGGTATT